GCTCTTGACTTGAGTGTCCATGAAATCTATTGACACTGAGTCTCCCGGCTGATCCGGAATGGGCAAGGGTCTTAGACCTAGCGAGGCTCGCATAGAACTCTTGTTACGCTGGCAGACCTTACAACTGCGAACATACTCTACGCAGTCATTCTTCATCCTTGGCCAGGTATACGCGCGCATCAGATTGGCCAAAGTCTTTTGCCAACCGAAATGACCCTCTGTGTCGTGACATTCCCCCAGAATCAGACTACGGATCTCTTCGCTATTGGGGATGCACAGCCGGTCAAAGACATTAGTCTTCTCAAAGAGTAACCCTTCTGTAGTGCGGTAGTTCGGCTCGGTCTCTGGGGCCTCCTTGACTTTCTTAAGGAGCTCACCATAGATAGGGTCCTGCGCGTAGGCTTCTCTAACCTGCTGTTGCAGATCCTTTCCTATATCGAGGTAATGTACTATTGCCCCAAAATAATCAGCTCTCCTACTCAGAGCATCCGCAACTACGTTGTACTTCCCTTTGACAGGCTTGAGCTCAAAGTCGTACTGATCTATCTCTGCGGCCCACCTAGTAAGCTTAGGTGTCATTTTGGCCTGCGTCTTTAACCATCGTAATGTTTCATGGTCAGAATAGACTTTGAAGTGTCTCCCAAGCAAGTAGTGCTTCCAGTGGTCTAACGCTTGTCTGAGAGCGTAGAGTTCCCTCTCATAGGTAGATGTCGCGACCTTCTCTGAAGGCATCCTGGCGGACATGAACTCTACGGATCTATAGCCATTGTCATCGTCTTGCTGTAACACTGCGCCTATGCCGTACTGGCTAGCATCTGTAGTAACGACAAAAGGAAAGGATGAATCGGCGACTTTAAGGACTGAATACTCTATTAATGCCTGCTTTAACTTCTTCATGGCAGACGTGCAGTCCTTATCCCACTTCCAGATGGTCTCCTTCCTCAACAATCTGCGAAGGGGCACAACGATGGTGGAGAAGTTCCTCACGAACTTCCTGTAGTAATTAGTTAAGCCCAGGAACGAGCGCAACTCTGTCAGCGTACGTGGCGTGGGCCAATCTCTAATCGCTGCGATCTTGCTATCCTCTGGCTTAACGCCATCTCCGTCTAAGACATGGCCTAAATACAAAACTTGGGTCTTCGCCCAATCGCACTTCTTTGCATTGATCTTGAAGTTAGCTTCCCTCAACTTCTCCAAGACCTGCCTGAGATGACCCTGGTGCTCTTCGAGGGTCCTACTAAACACGAGAATGTCATCTAGATTACGACAAATCTGTCTAACCATGGCCTAAACAAATCATTCATACAGCGCTGGAACGTAGCTGGCGCGTTGGTTAGTCCAAAGGGCATCACTATAAACTCGTAATGCCCGTACCTAGTCCGGAAAGCTGTCTTATACTGATCATCAGGATGTACCTCTATTTGATGATATCCGAACTTTAAATCTACCTTAGAGAAATATTTGGCCCCCTGCACTCGATCTAAGAGATCGTCTATCCTCGGCAGTGGCTCGGCATTCTTCACTGTAATAGCATTCTGACCCCTATAGTCTATGCACATTCTCAGCTCTCCCTCTTTCTTAGGAACAAAGAGAACAGGCGCTCCGAAAGGGGACGAACTGGGCCTAATCCAACCCTTCTCGAGGAGCTCGTCTAACTGCTTGCGAAGCTCCTCTAACTCCCATGGGGACATCCTATATACAGCGCCCTTAGGAGTCCTACTGCTAGGCTCTATCTCAATACGGTGCTGGATGGGCGGCGGTACCACTCCTATCGCCGGCTCGGTTAGGTCCTTGAACTCTTCCAGCAGCTTGGCAATCGCAGGGTCCATCGGTTTTTCTTCCGTAGGCTCGGTCACTGGCCTCACATAGACAACAAAGACCTGCTCATTCAATTTCTCCTTCTTCACTAATCTGGCGAACACGGGGGCACTAAGGCAGCAGTGCGCCAAGGAATTCTCTACCCCTGACACATGGAACAGATGGGCAGTCTTAGCCTCGCCTGAGGAACTAGGGAGCCTACACTCGTGCTCCTTCAGATGGAGCGTCGCCCCGCTGCCTCTCCCCAATCCATTCCCAAGACAATATCAAATGGGAGGTTGTCTTATACGAGGAGAGTCAGGGAGTGGAGGACCTTCTCCACTTTCCCATCCTTCTCTAGGCGGAAATATGCCTGGACTCCCTCTACATACTCCTCTACGACCATAGTACGATTGTCCGCGAGGATACTTACTATGGGGTCTGTCAATTTTTGGACTTTAAGTCCCAGCTTCAACTTCTGCAGCGCTTTCTTACTAATATAGCTGCGGGTGGCCCCTGAATCTACTAGGGCCTTTACTCTACTTCTAAAAATCTCTGTATCTAGCAATATAAGCTGCCCTTTATTCTCCTTCTTCATCTTGTCCCAGGCGGGCATCCTCTCCTTCAATTCTTCGGCCATGCCTGTGAGGGAGGTGTCTAGCGAAACTCTAACGCAAGCAGTTTCGGGACAGTTGTCTAGACACCGGCCTGCAACCTCTGCCATAGGCACATGTGGTGTGGGAGTCTTCTGCCGGCTAGCGCTATGTTCCCCACATGGCCTAGTGGTAGGGGCAGTTGCTACCCCTACCGGCGG